TGAGCACTCTGCACTGCAGCAAATCTTAGGTCTCCTCTCCTTTTGACCTTACTCAGCATCATGAGAAGTCACACCCAGTGGCCCTAGAACAGTGGGAGGAACACGGGGCAGACCCGAACCCAATCTAAGCCAGGCTGATGGGCTGAACCAGCTGATCCTGACCCATGCTGGCCCCAGGCATCTTCACTTATGCTGTCTAGCCTCCTAGCTGGGGGGTTGAGGCTGCGATCTGAGAAGGAAGACACACAGAGTTTGCGTGGAAGGAATGTACAGCACTTCAAACCTCCATTAACCTGTCTTTTTTGGAAGATGTCTTTTTTTTTTTTTTTTGAGTCAGAGTCTCACTCTGTCGCCCAGCCTGTCGACCAGCCTGGGCAACTTAGTAAGACCTCATCTCTACAATAAATCAAAAAATTAGCCAGGCGTAGTGGCGTGCGCCTGTAGTTCCAGCTACTTGGAAAGCTGAGGCAGAAGGATCGCCTGAGCCCAGCAGGTTCGAGACCCGCCTGGGCAGCGAGACCTCATCTCTACAATAAATTAAAAAATTAGCCGGGCGTGGTAGCGTGCGCCTGTAGTTCCAGCTACTTGGAAAGGCTGAGGCAGAAGGATCGCTGGAGCCCAGCAGGTCGAGGCTGCGGTGGCTGGGAGCGGCCACTGCACTCCAGTCTGGACGACAGAGTGAGACGCCAACTGAAAAAAAATATATATATATATCAGTATTTGATGATTTCTAAATAATACTATCAGAGAACTGATTGTTTGGGGGACAAGAATGAATCTGAAATTCTACCAGTCTACCACCAAGTTGGTAAGCAAGGTAATAGCTCAAGTCTTCCTCAATTCCTAGACTTAAAAAAAAAAAAAGCTGGTTGATACCAATGATTTAACTTTACATAATCTTTCAACCTCAAGCTTTGGGCAGTGCCTCACGAGGGTTTCTTAATATTTTCTGAAGCAGTTAAAAAGATTGTCGCCACACTGATGAATTTTGCACACCTCATATTTAAAAATTCGTACAGACTTTTATTAGCTCAAAAGTATATAAAGGCTAGGCATGGTGGCTCATACCTGTGATCCCAGCACTCCAGAAGGCCGAGCTAGGAGGATTGCTTGAGCCCAGGAGTTCAAGATCAGTCCAGGCAACACAGTGAGACCCTGTCTCTACATAAAAAATTAAAAAACGAGCCGGGCATTGTGGTGTCCACCTCCTGAATTCAAGTAGTTCCAGCTACTCAGGATGATGAGGTGAAAGGATCACCTGAGCCCAGGAGGTCAAGGCTGTGGTGAACCATTATTGTGCCGCTGCTGCACTCCAGGCCTGGGTGACAGTGAGACCCTGACTCAAGAGGAAAAAAAAGATAGAATATAAAGGTCTTGAACTTATCTAGGCAACATTGTATTTCCTTGTTAATTATTTGCAAACCTTCTTAGTTTTAATTTTTATTATTATTATTTTTTTGAGTTGGAGTCTCATGCTGTCACCCAGACTGGAGTGCAGTGGCCGCTCCTGGCCACTGCAACCTCGACCTGCTGGGCTCTGGCGATCCTTCCACCTCAGCCTTCCAAGTAGCTGGAACTGCAGGCGCGCACTACCATGCCTGGCTAATTTTTGATTTATCGTAGAGATGAGGTCTCGCCCAGTTGCCCAGGCGGGTCTCGAACCCGTGGGCTCAGGCAATCCACTCACCTCGGGTCTCCCAACGTGCTGGGATTACAGGTTGAGGCATTGAGCCCGGCCAGTTTTAACTTAGATTACAAAACTGTTTACGCAATTAACTGAAGTGCTTTACTTAATCCTATAAGCACACATTTATCTTTGAAACGAACAAAATGTATATATTTTCGTAACTAAGATGCTTACCTGCTTGAACTTCAGTCATTTGTATAAACCTGAGTGCCAAGCCTATTGGAGACACAGTAGCTGCTGGGATGAGATGGGACAGCAATGATCTCTGACACATCCTTGGCCTTGCATTAATTCAGAGGCGGATCGGTGCACACACGCATCCTTTCACTCTTAGGCCGAAGGTGTTGATAGTTTGTGTTCATCTCCACACTTCTGAAGCGAGTCGGCAAGGATGCATGAAACCTGACTTCTGCCTGTTCCTGGACCAAGTTTTCCTAATGGAACTTTGGTTCTTTGTTTTGCCATTGGCTTATTAGGAATAATCTTTGGTGTCTCATACCAGCTCCTGCATACTGAATGCCTATTATGCAGAAAGCAAGGTGTAGACAGTGTTAGTGGGCCAGTCTTCGGTTATCCCTACTTTTTTGGTGAGGTGGAAAACCAAAGCCTGGGGCAGGGGTGTCACGTTCTTGTAGTCTAGGCTGATGTGTGATCTGATTTGCAGAACTGGAAAAAGCCCTTAAGGTCAAAACCATCCCTGCAGATCTGAACGAGCTTTGGGTCTTTTCCTGGAGATGGAAAGACGTACAGCACTTCCACCCTGCATTACCCTACTTTTTGAAAGGAGCTCTCCATTTACACCCAAACAAGAACATTCCTCCTTCATCCTCAGCTTTGTCTCCTCAATTCAGGTGACATTAGGATCGCGAGACCCTCGTCTCCGCGGGTCTGCTGTAAGTTCCATGCCCAGTCCGCAAACTGCCCAAAACCTAATACTTTCCGTGCAGCCCTTCCCTGTGGCAGCTCTTCTGTTTCCTGGGCGTCTCATGCTCACCGTGCACTGATTGGGTAGCTTCTATCTTCACCTGCCAGCAAACTTGCCCTTCAAACTCCCATCAAAGTCCTGCATTGAGAAATGTGATTTCTCTTCCGTCAGCTGAAACCCTGCACCTTCTTCACAGCTCAACACTCGGTGTTCCCAACCCTCATGCCCCACGTTTCATTTATTTTTTTGAGTTGGAGTTTCACTCTGTCCCTCAGGCTGGACTGCAGTGGCATGCTCATGGCCATGGCAGTTTCGACCTGCTGGGCTCAGGCAATCCTTGCCCTCAGCTTTCCAAGTAGCTGGAACTACAGGCATGCACCACCATGCCTTGCTTTTTCTTTTGATTTATTGTAGAGATGAGATCTCACCAAGTTGCCCAGGCTGGTCTCAAACCCGTGCGCTCAGGCAATCCTCTCACCTTGGCCTCCCAAAGTGCTACGATTATAGGCATGAGCCACTGCGCCCAGCCTATGTGTATGTTATTTGAGAACTCGCCAACCTTAACTCAAGGGGCTTCAAGAACAAGGCATCTGTGAATATCTGTGCTGTCTGCCACAGAGAGCTGGGAAGACCTAGCCCGTGCACCTGATCAGCAATGTCAAAGGATGGCTTTAAACTCCATTACACAGACTATTTAGTTACTTAAAGATGGCCATCACCTGTCCTTCTGTATGCTTTTGTAATAGCACTGTCATCTTGAGACCGGGCATATGTTTCTTTGAAAAAAATAAATCACTTAAAATAAAACTAGAATTGAAAATACCATACTGATGATTTCAACAGCTTCTTGTTTCCTAGTCCTTTTGCATCTGATGAAAACAATTATATGATGGTGTTTCTGTATGCAGTAAGTGCTCAGAGATGCTCAGTTATCCATGTCTCAGTATCAGGTCACAGAAGGCTACAAACAAAAACCAATGACACCTTAAACTCAGCCAACTGCGATGTTCAAAGACATAAAATAACTGGGACTTATAAGGCCACAAACAGTATGCATTTACTTAATAACATTGAGATTGTTCTAAGCACAGCACGGTACTAAGTTGAGCATTGTTCTAAGCACAGCACGGTACTTCAAGATATACAACGTCAACTGCTACTACTTCCTGTTTTATCATTGGGGCACTGGCTCAACATCCAAGCCACTCAATCACAAAGCTAGAAAGAGCCAGAATATGGACCAGTGTGACGACCAGGTTACAATGGCACATATACCTCAAATTCTGCTATCTCAGTGATTTCAAATCAAGTCCCTCCTAAAGATCTTGTGTCATAAAACCCAAGGCTGTGGCCAGGCATGGTGGCTCAAGCCTGTAATCCCGGCACTTTGGGAGGCCCAGGTGAGAGGACTGTCTCAGCCCATGGGTTTGAGACCAGCCTGGGCAACTTGGCGAGACCTCATCTCTACAATAAAAAAAAAAAAATTAGCCAGGCACGGTGGCACACATCTATAGTTCCAGTTACCAGGGAGGCTGAGACAGAAGGATCACCTGAGCCCAGAAGGTCGAGGCTGTAGTGGCCATAAGAGTGCCACTGCACTCCAGCCTGGGCAACAGAGTGAGACTCTAACACACAAAAAAAACAACCCAAGGCTGACTTGAAGTCAGGTACTACACTACAATGGTAGCAGAATCCAAGTAGAATACTCCAGTCTTGCAACCCTAGAAGTGACGATTCATAATGTTCAGGGCTTAGAGCAGGACATGTGAAACTGGCCTTTGACACAATTATTGCTCATTCTTCTCCTTATAGTCAAAGAAGTCTGGATGCATACTGTGGAAAGTGAAATGGCGCAAGCTGGATTTGTCAAGGGCTGTGGAGCAGAAGGTCGTAAGGCTCTGACTGGAGTGGACAGGGCAGGATGAAGGCCCAGCCCTGTGCTCTTCACTGTCATTCACGTGGTCTCCACCCATCCCAGACCAGTAATTAAAAAAGCGGTTTTTCAAATGACATGCTCTTCGCCCACTTTTAAGAAATTAATATGCATTTGACACACTTGTTACAAATAAAAGACAACACTGTTCCATACGGATTGGGGAAGAGATCAAAGAGCTGGGCATGAAAATGTAGGCAGCTGAGTCAGAATAATAAAGAAAGGTGCCTTCAAACTTACCGCCAAGTTCAAGTGAACCCAGGCAATAAGAGAGCTACGGATACAGACTGAATCCCATTTTCTCAGGTAGCAGGGAGGACAGTTCTATCTCATCACTCTCCTACCCAGATGTAGTTACATGTAGGCAATAATTCAAAGAATACGAACATCCATGCTATAATCCATCTTTGGAAAACAGACTGTTTGACGGAAGACAAATCCAAAATGGAACCGTGTGGTTTCCAGAGCAATTTATTCATGAGAATCCACTCAATATGCCATCAACAGTTCTCCTGTGTGTATTGTGCTGACAAACAAGACACTGAGAAGGTTTAACAAGTTCGCCATTTATTAAGTCTGAATTCATTTTCACCACATGGTATTGTACACAATCATCTGTTGAAACAGATTTCTTTTTAACAGATCTTAGTTTAAAAAAGTGATAGATAGATACTGTGGAGTTCTGTATAAATTGGTGGATAGTAAGTTAGTTCCTTTGTTTTGACTTATAAGCCTCAACTTCACCGCAGAATAAAGAATGTAGGCCAAAGAAAGCATAATCAGTCACTCATATAGAACAGTATTGTTTCTACAATTTGAAGCTTTCTGAATGGACGGGTTCAGGCCTGGTGTAACTGTAAAAAGATTACTTAGTGAATAGACTATATGGAAATTGTACAAAATGTTATTACTTTAATCATTAATAGCTTAAACAGCACTATATTACTAATTGCTATTCAAAATCAAAAACCTGTTTTTGAATCCCCAAGAAGGCATGTCATGTGTACACAACCTTGCCACCTTGATCTCAGGGGTGTGTCAATACTAATTCAACAGAAACTTTGGCTTTAGGAAAGAGTCACAAATATTTAAAAGAATGGCTTTAATTGGAATTTTAAGTATACAGTAGGGGGAAAGTGTGCTTTAATTAAATATACATCATACCAGTGATGCTGGCCAGGTTGAAAGTTACTCCTAATGTTGACAGCTAGAAAAACTAGTTTGTACATGACAAGACAATGAGAGGAAAAAGCAATCCCTTTGAAACAAAATTTTCAAATAAAAAATGTTCACAGTGGTTTGTATCAACAGTATGCATTTAATGACAGGAACATGTACAGGTTCAGAGCACCCTAGGGCTCTCTTTATATCCTAGAGAAAACAAGCATTTACATTATCATGGGTGAATTTTAAAAAGATAAATTGTACACTCACCCCCCTTAGACAGGATCAAGCGTCCTGGGGTATGCAGCGTTAACGCCATCATTAAAATCGTTTGCAAAAGGAACAGAGAATTAAAAAACAAAGACACTTTTTGAAGTGAAGTCTTTCACTTGCTGTTATAACCAGCAAATGCCATTCACTAAATTAAAAATGAAAAGGGCCCCCACAAACACAGATCGATCTGAGCAAGCTGACCAGGACACATTACAGTCTTAAAAATGAAGGTTATATACTATATGTTACAAGTCCCAACTAGGCAGTGTCAAAATGACATCTATTTCTTTGCTTGCTTTGTGATCATACCCCTTGGTGGTGTTACAGGTCTCGTGGCATTTGGCTTCTTTTTCTCTGCAGGCTTTAAAATCTGTGAAGATTCAAGACAATGCATTTTAGGAAACATATTTAGCCCAAATCTTAAGTCCCTAAATCTCATCTAAATCTTTTGTTCAGAAAGCTTTTGACTGTTTGAAACTAACCCCAAACTGTAAAAGCCCCACCAGCAAATTAACACAAACCAAGTTGACATGTAAACATTTGGAAATACTACTAAGATGAACAGATAAAAATCTACAATCTGAGTCGGGCTCGGTGGCTCAGCCTGTAATCCCACGCCTTTGGGAGGCAGAGGTGAGTGCATTGCCTGAGCCCGCGGGTTCAAGACCCGCCTGGGCAGCGAGACCTCACCTCTATAATAAATCAAAAAAATCAGCCGGGCATGGTAGCACGTGCCTGTAAATCCGGCTACTCGGAAGGCTGAGGCGGAAGGATCGCCGGAGCCCAAAAGGTCAAGGCTGTGGTGGCCAGGAGCGGCCACTGCACTCCAGTCTGGGCAACAGAATGAGACTCCAACTAAAAAAAAAAAAAATCTACGATCTGGACATATATGATCTGATCATTCTGCCTCTGAGTAAAATGCCCACTTTCTTTTTTTTTTTTTTTGAGCAGGAGTCTCACTCAGTTGCCCAGACTGGAGTGCAGTGGCCGCTCCCGGCCACCGCAGCCTCGCCTGCTAGGCTCCAGCAATCCTTCCGCCTCAGCCTTCCGAGTAGCCGGAATTACAGGCATGTGCTATCACGCCCGGCTGATTTTTTTATTTATT